ATATGTTTTCTAACAAAAGGTAATTATTAATATTATTGATGAATATTTTATACTAATATCATATTTATATATATAAGAAAAAATATCACAGACACAGCAATTGAAAATGATAAACCATACAAAAAAGCCTTAATTAACATTCGACACAAAAACAGAACAAAAACCTAATTAAAGGATGGACTAATATGTCCAAATGCATTCAGTCGCGAGTAACAACCACCACTTGTTTGCCAACATTGCGACCATTATAAAGGCCAACCAAGGCTTTAGGACCATTCTCAAGACCCTCAACTATGTCTTCTACATACACAACATTCCCTTCTCTGATATGAGGCAAGAGAAACTCCAAAAATTTGGGATATAAGTGATAAAATTTAGTAACTATAAAACCTTCCATACGAAGTTGCTTGAATATGAGATTTGACAAATTTGTTACACCTTCATGTTGAGTAAGATTATATTGTGAGACCATTCCACAAACAGGTATGCGACCTTGGAGTCTCATATTCTGGAGTACAGCATCAAGTGTCTTGCCTCCAACATTTTCAAAGTAAATGTCAATGCCTTCTGGAAAATATCTAATATATAAATCAATATCCATTAATCATTAGTGCATGTGTATGAACCAATTTAATTAAAACTTTCATATCACGAAACTATTAATATTGACCTTTTCAAAGTTGCATTGAGGTCTGACTCTTCTTTATAGTTGAAAGCTTCATCAAATCCTAACTTATTCTTCAATAGATCCACCTAATTGTAAAAAACACATTCAAATGAAAATTTTGTGACATAAAGTGAATATTATAGACTGTAACTTCTGATATTTGACATAAACGTACAACTTAATTATCATTCATGCATACATATATAGTGACAATGATTGGAAGAATACCTTCTCTTTGCTTCCAGCACTTCCAACTACATAACAACCGGTCAATTTAGCAAACTGACCAACAAGTTGGCCAACAGCACCAGAGGCGGCTGAAACAAAAACATTCTCTCCTTTCTTTGGAGACCCTATTTCAAAGAAACCACCATAAGCAGTCACTCCTGGCATACCTGTGTTCAAAGAAGAAACTAACATGAATAATAATGCACAATTATAAGTGAGAAAACAATGATTTATTTTGAAGAAGTACGAATTACTCATGAGTATTTGTCTAAATATTACACAACCAATTGAATTAAGAGTTTGTATCTAAATATTCTCTAAATCTCTGTAGTGAAAAAACATAGTATTTGTCAAAAAATTTGGCCGATTATTTTTAGTGAGATTTCCTCTCTTAACCACATTGTTTTTTATACAGAAAACTTGAACTCAAGACTTTTATTAAAGAAATCAAACTTAATTCTACTCGGATCAAGGATTTATTAGTAAAAAAACACGTATGATATATATGTACTAAGAAAATCGAGAGAAAAAAATAGTCCAACATAACCGATATAAAATGAGGCTAGCATATCATACTGGCATGAGGGGCATAAATGATTGAATAAGAATCAACATAAATTGTGCTTATTGGATACATACCAAGAATACCGGTGTAATACGAAAGAGGGACATCAGTGTGATCAATTTTGAAATGTATTAGAGATGAAGGGATCAAGCTGAATTCTTCCCATTTAGTAATTCCCCATACTAAGTCTCCTTTCTTAAATTTGGGGTCTCCAGATTCAAGGACTTTAGACACCCCATATCCGGTTAATGGCTGCATTTAAATAACGATTAGTAAACACTAAGTTTATGATTAATAAAATGTATTTTCAGTACAACACTACAAACATTTTATTTTTAATCAAAGTTTGTCTTCAACAGTTCAATTTAATAACTATTTACACTAATCGTTAAAGTTTCACAAAACACCAAACTTCTTGAACCACTACATTCTCATCGCTGAACTGTTTTCTTAAAATTTTATTTTGAAAATATTGACTTGATACATATACCATTAATAAGCAGCCCAATATGATGTCCTTAGCTTTTCACTTTAAAAAAATGCCTTCAATGTTTTGATATCAATTTGTTAGAGTTAAGTACATGA